TAAATGCTCACACGCACCCCAAGATACCTTAAAAACATTGTCTGTAACAGATTCCCATTGCACAGAGCAGGTAAAAAGAAATTCAGGGAGAGTTTTGACCTTGTAAGCCTGTGCCAAAGGAGTTTGGAGTTCTAATCTAGCGCTCTTTCTGCTACCTTGGCCCCTCCTGGGCTGTCTACCAAAGTGGCATTAAAAGAGTCACAACAGAATGCTTCTGAGAGACACCCCTCAGAATCCTACCCGCCCAAGCACTCCCTCCCTTACACACACACACACACACACACACACACACACACTCACACACACACACTCACACACACACACACTCACACACACACACACACACTCACACACACACACACTCACACACACACACACTCACACACACACACTCACACACACACACACTCACACTCACACACACTCACACACTCACACACACACACACTCACACACACTCACTCACACACACACACACTCACACACTCACACACTCACACACACACTCACACACACACACTCACACACACACACTCACACACACTCACACACACACTCACACACACACACTCACACACACACACACTCACACACACACACACTCGCACACACACACACACTCACACACTCGCACACACACACACTCACACACACACTCACACACACTCACACACACTCACACACACACACACACACACACACACACACACTCGCACACACACACACACTCACACACACACACACTCACACACACACACACTCACACACACACACACACACTCACACACACACACTCACACACACACACACACACTCACACACACACACACACACACAGTCACACACACACACACACACTCACACATACACAGTGATTTCATTTATAGAAAGATGAAGATAGTAAGAGAAATGGAGGAAGAAAGAAGAATCCAGCCTCCCACAGGGAGAGAAGGGCAGCAGCTCAGGCGGGGAAGACCCCATCAGAAAAGCACTCGCTCCCCGGGGGAGCGTTGGGGCTCCTGGCAGCCCTGGGGTGGCCGTAGTTGAGGCAGACAGGCCAGGGCACAGAGGAAAGGGGACAAGCCTACAGGAGGACGAGAAGCGTGTGCTCAGGAGAAAATGAGAGACTAGGAGAGGAACAAAGGACAGAGCATCAGCTGGGAGGGGGCAGGAGGACGGGAGGAATGGCAGTCAATGCTGAGCTGGCAGCACAGGGCAGCGTGGCTGGGGGAAGGTCAATGCCAGCTCCACTCTGCCCTTTAGCAGCAGCAGGCGCGGGGATGAGCCATGGGCTCTGCTGGAGACACACTGGGGGAGATGCAGCGAGGGGCAGCAGGGGGACCAAAGTCAAAAGGCCTCTCTGCTGCAGGTGGTGCAAACGCAGCTGCCCAGGGCCCTGGAAACGCCTGCGTCTGTAGGGCTGTTTTTCCAAGAGGCCTGTGCTCACCAGCAGCTCGGGTCAGGCTACAGCTGAAGAGGGAAAAGTCAGCATTCCCACCACACTGGCGTCCAGCGTCCAGGCCGGTTCCTGAGGGACTGCAGATTAGCCTCGAGGATTAAGCTCCCCTGCTCCCCCCCCCACTCCACAGCCCTGCCAAGGGAGGATCACAGAGCTGAGACCTTAGGATGCTGCAGAGCTGTCACATTCGATTCACCACACGGCCCCAGTGGCATTTAGGGGCAGGACGGATGGGAGCCCGCCCCCACCACAAGCAGTGGGAGCAGCTAATGACTGGGTATTAAGGATGCTGGCAATTAGTGCTCCCGAGAAAATGGTTGGGGGCCGCTCGCCAGGGGAATGTGGAGGAAACTCAGCACACATTCAGAGCAGCACGCCGATGGGTGGCCTGTGTGGTGCAGAGAGTCTGGGGAAAACTGCTGTCTCTCAGATTCATCCAGAGAAATGGGGGAAGAGGAAAAGGACGGCTTCTATGGACATTGAAGGCCTTTCTGCCCCACCCTCCCCAGGAGCCAAATTGAGGTTAATCACAAAGGGGGCACTGAGAGATGTCATGAAACAGGTGTTTGTGAGGCTTCTGGAACCTTCCTTGTGAGAGGAGGCCCCAGAGGAGCCCAGGTAGAATTATTCCTTTCTCTGCAGTTTCAAATCCTTGGGTAGTCAGATGATCCTTTTTTAAAAATATATATATATATATATATTTATTGATTTCAGAGAGGAAGGGAGAGGGAGAAAGAGATAGAAACATGAATGATGAGGGAGAATCATTGATCAGCTGCCTCCTGCACGCCCCCTACTAGGGATCAAGCCTGCAACCCAGGCATGTGCCCTTGACCGGATTCAAACCTGCAACCCTTCAGTCTGCAGGCCGACGCTCTATCCACTGAGCCAAGCCGGCCAGGACCAGATGGTCCTTTTGAAGAACCCAATTCCATCCGCAAGGAGGGAAGGAAGAGAAAGGTTCAGAGGGGCTGGAGCGAGTGTGCTCACTAACAGACCCACAGGGAGAGGAGAGCAAGCTCGGGATGAGATCTGTTAGGAAGTGTCTCCATCTGGAAGGAAGGAAGGAGGGAAGACACAGCTTCCTCGCCGAGCAGAGCCATCTGGCCTCAAGGTGAGGACTTGAGGAAGCAGGAGACACTGACCCCAGAGGGTGTGTGAGGAAATCCTGGGGGACAGAGAAAACTATGCAAGGGCCCATCTCCGAAGTCAACAAGAAGAGCTAAGGGCCTGCAGTGCACCTGAGGGGCCATCAGAGCCTTCCCCCCCTGTGGCCATCGCTGTGCACACACAAAAGAGACAGAGAGAAGTATTCCAGACCCTTAGTGTGAGGAGGGCACCTACACACAGGAACAGATGCCTGGCCTTTGAGAGGAGATGTCAAGGAGATAAGCCAGCGCTGGAGGAGTGAGAAATAATGGCAACCTAATAAATACTTTAGAGAGAGCAACCGTGGCCGAGAAATGCTTTCCCAACAGCAACCCAGTCAAAGTCACTCTCAGCCTCCTCCTGATAGAAGACCATAGCTACACCTTGGCCACTCAGATGAGAGAAGGGACAAGAGGAGAGACATGGAAATGCAAATATTTTCCTTTCTGAAAGGCAAGGCTGACTGGCCCAAGGAAACCTCACCCCGAAGGGAAGACAGACTGTGGCACTGCAGCTCCTCAGGCCCTCCTGCCCTGCTTTCCCAGCTCTGTCCATATGGCAACACTAGGTAAGAAAACACAAAAGTCTGGAACCCTGAAAGTTAGTAAGAATGAAAGGTTTTAGGGGGCGATCTCTGTCCCCCACAGTTCATATGTTGAAGCCAATACCTCAGGAAGTGATTATATTTGGAGGTAGGGCCAGTAAAGAGGTGATCCAAGAAGAAAAGCTCAGCCCTAAACGGTTTGGCTCAATGGATAGAGCGTCAGCCTGCAGACTGAAGGGTCCCAGGTTCGATTCCGGTCAAGGGCACGTACCTTGGTTGAGGGCACATCCCCAGTAGGGAGTGTGCAAGAGACAGCTGATCGATGTTTCTCTCTCATGGATGTTTCTAACTCTCTACCCCTCTCCCTTCCTCTCTGTAAAAAATCAATAAAATATATATTTTTTTAAAAAAGCTGCTGAGGCCCTAGCTAGTTTGGCTCAGTGGATAAAGAATTAAAAAAAAGAAGAAGAAAAAAAAAAGAAGAAGAAAAGCTCAAATGAAACTGTTAGAAGGGCCCTAATCCAATCTGACTGGTGTCTTTATACGCACAGGAAATATGGACACACAGAGACAGCAGGTGCACGTGCACAGAGCGACAGCCATGTGAGGAGGCAACAGGAAGGCAGCCATCCACAAGCCAAGGAGAGAGGCCCCAGGAAAACCCAACCCTGCCAGCACATTGATCTGGGACTTCAGCCTCCAGAACCATAAGAAAATAAATCTGTGTCCTTTAAGCCACCCACTCTGTTGTACTTTGTTATGGCAGCCTGAGCATAATGACACAGAAGGCAATGTGACAAGGGAAGGGTAGGGTGGTGGTTAGGTAAAAACTCACACGAATCCAAAGAAAGGTCTTGGCCAAGGATTGTGTTAATTATTTCAAATATTTGGTGAAGGCAGCCAATCAACATCAATTGACTGAAATGTAGAGGAATCACTCTCAAATCCTAGAGTCTGAATATTTTTAAAGGTCTGTCTGATCCCTTTAATTACACTGAATTATTCACTTTAAGACCGCCTGTCAGCCAATCTTATGAAAAAAAAAAAATAGAAAACATATGGCATGTCCACAGTTATTGTTTACCTAATGACCTTAGAATGCCCACATCGTGAAGTAAGTCCTCAAGGTTCCATTATCTCATCCCAGAAGGAATGCTGAAGAGGGAAGTCAAAAGGTGAATGCTAAGCCCTTTTTGACTTCCTAAATCATAACTGGATTTTGAGGAAAGAAAGAATAAAAACAAAAAAACAAATCTTAGGAATCATTTGGGGTCTTTGAGCCCAACATCCCAAATATCAAGTGCACCCAGATCATGTTTGCTGATTGAGTGCTCCGGCAAAGAGCATGGAGGCTCCAGGGCAGCATTTCTAAGGCAGGAGAGCCCTATGCCAAAATTGTAGACTCTATAACAGGCAAGACAATAAATCAAGAATCTTCTACATCTCTTGGTGGCCAAGGAGCCATCTGGAGTATCTGTATGAACTGACATAGCCGAGGGATATGCTCGGGTCAGCAGCTGTGAAGGGATCATCTGGAGCTGAGGAAAAGGGGAGCAGCTCTGGCATCTGACAATGGCCAGGTAAGGACATTTCCCTTCTGCCTGAACACTCACCTTCCTTCCTTAGACAGCAGAGCTTGCTGTGCCACCCCAGCCCAGTCACCCTCAGCCTCGGACTCAGCTGACCCCACAAGGGCAGCTGAGGCTGGGCTGAAAGAGCCAACCCACCACAGGAGATTGAGACCAACCAACGGTCATTACCAGAAGATGCCACGGGTAATTAAAGGAATGCTCCACGGCCCTGCCCACCCACTTCATAACTGCCCCAACCCAAAAACTGGAAACTCACGTCTGTGGTTCTCATTTCTGTGGTTGGGTGGGGACCGGGTCTCCTGGTCTTGAGCTTCATCCCCCTCCTCGCTGGCCAGGTGAGTGTGAGCGTAGTGGTAGCTGAGTCCTGGTCGGTTCTTGTAGCGCTTGCCACAGACTAGAGAGGAAAGAGGAAAGAAAGGAAAAACACAATGTCAGCAACCTCTACAGCCACTGCCATCATTCCCCCAGGCAGTGACTCCCATCCATCCATTCCTGAGCTGGGGTTCCTTTAGAAAGTTTTTGCCACCCCCAATCCCTTACTTCCTGGGCAGGACCAAAACCACTATAACAACATGGGTCCATGTAAAGCAAAACCACGGAAGTAGAAGATTAAAGTTGTGTGAGAGCTCCATCATTTCCTAGCTGTAAGACCCTAGGCAAGTCACTTACCCTCTCTGTGCCTGCTTCTTCAGAGGAAAAATGGAATAATAGTACTGACAGGGTTGTTGGTGATGAGATAATCTCTATGCAATTAGAACATGGTATTGGGATGATTATTTTAACTGTGAAGGTTGGACTGGGAGTTCAACACCAGTCCAACACCCCATGGCACAGATAGAGCAAGTGAGGCCCAGCAAGGCTAAGTGATCTGCCTGGGAACACACAGCCAGCCGTGGCAGAGCCACTAGAAGCCAGGTCCCTTGGATTCCTGTGATTATTACATCTACATTCCTGTGGTTGACTATGCCTGAAGTAGAAAAGCTTGATCTGGATAACATTCTTGATGTATCACTCAGTGATTTCGAGTTCCACTCCCACCATGGAAACCATGAAGCCAAGACATGTTTGGTAGATGTGGGGCAACCAAGAGCTTATGCCCTGGATGCCCTGGCAGCCTAATACCCCAAATCTCTAAAAACATGTCCTTGCAAGCACTACTTCTCAAATGGACATTCTGAGACAAGGGCAATAAGCAACATACATATGTCCAAGAAGAAAGCGGGGCAGTTCTATTGGTTAAATGCTCAGTACCTGAAAAGTCTGGCTAAATAACTTAAGACCAGATCACCACCCCCAACCTCACCCAATGATATCTCAGTCCTTAGAGCAGTGGTTCTCAACCTTCCTAATGCCGTGACCCTGAATATAGTTCCTCATGTTGTGGTGACCCCCAACCATAAAATTATTTTTGCTGCTACTTCATAACTGTAGTTTTGCTACTGTTATGAATCGTAATGTAAATATCTGATATGTAGGATGTATTTTCATTGTTACAAATTGAACATAATTAAAGCATAGTGATTAATCACAAAAACAATATGTAATTATATATGTGTTTTCCGATGGTCTTAGGCGACCCCAGGGAAAGGGTTGTTCGACCCCCAAAGGGGTCGCGACCCACAGGTTGAGAACCACTGCCTTAGAGGAATGACACTGCTGGTAGCAGAAGCCTCAAGGTTCTTCAAATAAAAATCCTATGCCAACCCTCGCATCAGATCCCCACCTTTCCCCAGCAGAGCCAACCCCACCTGATCTGCGGAAAAATCTGAAGTTGTGAGCTTTAAGAAACCCTTTTCACATGACTCTGTTATAGTAGTGAGTGTGAATATTTCATAAGGTAAAAGAGTACAGACTTCATCATCAGACCTGGATTCAAATGCTAGTTCCAGGTGCCCAAGTTGACCGGCTGTGTGACCTCCATCGTATAGAGAAGATCTGTTTCCAGCCATCTTACCCAATTCATTTTATTAGAGCAGTGGTTCTCAACCTTCCTAATGCCGTGACCCTTAATACAGTTCCTCATGTTGTGGTAACCCCCAACCATAAAATTATTTTCGTTGCTACTTCATAACTGTAATTTTATGAAGAAACATAGGGTTTCTTTTCTTACTAAATTCCCTTTAGTTTTTTCAGGTATTACAACCATTAGCAAAAAAAAAAAATAGATGTCATCTCTTCTTTCTCTTATTTGTACAAACTACTTATCTTCTTAGCTTAATTAGTTTGTAAGAATCACTAACCTGACACTTAAAAATAGCAAGATTTTCCTATTTTAATGCCATTGGACTTAGTATTTTACTTATTCGAATAAAATATGTGGCTAATTTTTAGTCTTTATCAAATTTAAGTAGTTTATCTTATTCCTGCTTTAGAGCTTTATTATAGAATTCTATTGACTGCCCTCTCAGCACCTACTCATATATGACTCTGGTTTGTTGATAGTGAATTATGTTGATTTTCTAATGTTTCCTACTACTGAAGCATCCTTGGTTCAAGAATGCACTCCACTTGGTCAGAGTGTATGATCCATTTGACACACCGCAGCACTCTATTCACTAATATTGCATTTTGCACCTACGGTTATGTTGACTCGCGGAGTTTTGCTGAGAGAAATTAGACAAGACATATAATCTCTCTGTGCCTCCTTTCTAATCTGAAAATGATGACAGTATACTTACCATGAAGGATGGTTAAAGGAATTATAAGTCATATTTGTAAACTATCTGGCCTAGTACCCAGATCCCAACAGATGGTGGTGAGGGGTGAGAGGCGTCGGCTTGGTCTGCCATGCCCTTAGTTCCAAACGCTCCTGAAAGGGGGACTTGGACCCTTGCCTCACACTACTGAATGTGGCAATTGGTTTGACTTTCTTAGTAAGGTGAGAGTCTGAGATTCAAGCTGGTGACCTAGTGACTATATATTTAAGTCTTACAATTGGCTACTTACATTATCTCCCTCTCCCTGCTGTAAATATTGCAAAAAAAAAAAAAATTAAATGGTACTACACATCTCAACTCCATTTGCCTCAGGAAGTGGGACCTAAAGAGGTCCCTGGGGTATACTCTGGGCTTGCTTGTGGCTTTTTCTAGTTAACCTTTTAAATGTCATGAGGTCAATGAACAGCAAATTACGGGGTCATTAGATATAAATCCATTTCATCACCAAGTATACTGTTGGTAAGGAATAAATGTTGATTAAAATAAGAATGATAACATCAGTATTTACATGGGGAAACCTCGGCTGCCTGCAAATATCCCACTATAAACCCCTCAGCATTTAATTTCTGCCATTTTGTTATGTCAATTACCATTGTCTTCCTTAATCACAGAATTTCAGGATCTCAATACCATTGGTCTAATTATCTATCAAATCGTTTTATTCCCATGAATACTCTAGAAGGCTGCCCTGGGCCAAGTCCAATGATGGGTATTCACTACCCATCCAAGTAGGCATTTCTTCTTTGGACACCTTGAATTAATTGTATCTGTACTAAAGGGCCTCTCTTTAAGAACAGTTTCACATCGATTTCATCTTGATATCAGTAACTCCACCTCACTGTAGCCATGCACGCATTAAACCTTCAAAACATATTCACTGAATAGTTGCTAAATGAACACAGAAACACTTTGTGGAAGAGCCTGGAGTGGGGAGGAGGTAAGTGTGCAGAATCTGGTGTAACTATCCATATTAATCTCATACCAATAGTCCTTGAAACCTGCAAAACCAAAATGAAGCAAAAAGATTCCCATATCTGCATCCCAACACCACAGAGAGTAACTACTTTTAGAGCAAAGCCTTTTGCTAGAAGACAGATTCTCAGAGTGGACCCCAGACCAGCACCATCAGCATCACCTGGGAACTTGTAAGAAATACAAATTCTCGGGCTCCATCCCAGACTTACTGACAAAGTCTTGGGGTGGAGCCTGGTGATCTGTGTTTTAACCGGCCCTCCAGGTGATGCATGCTGACATTTGAAAAACACTGCTAGAAGGTTGGTATATTTAGGCTTGACTCTGCCTGCCCTGCGTGCACCTGCCCTTTTGAATGGATGGCAGTGGCAGGCGAGGACAGTGAGACCTGTGGTCGCTATTAGAAGAAAAGATCCAGGCAGCACAACAAGGTCCTGGAAGCCAGACCCTTTTCCCATGGTTCCTATATATAGGCTCTCCAGATGGAGTTTCATTTTCCCCTCACCTGCTTCTACCATCTCATTAAAAAACACTATTAACCATCTAACATGGGGGGCCAGGCATGTGGCACCAGAAATAAATAGTTAAATGAGCCCCACTCCCCTCCTTCAAGGGGCTCAAAGTCTAGCAGAGGAAGCCTACAAGCCAAGGAAGAAGGAAGGTGGGATAAATGCACCAGAGGGAAACATGCACCCTGAAAGAGGGGCCAGCACCTGGGCCTGAGGGGGTGAGGTGGCTTCCTGGAGGAGGTGGGGTGAGCTGCGGCTTGCGAGATGAGCAGGATATCACCAGGCAGACAAAGCACAGCACCTGTTTTCAACTTGATTCCCTTTTCTAGTCAAATCTCTCAGATTGCTTTCATCCGTTCATAGTATATAATCAAATGCGGCAAAGTCTTTAGTAACCTGGGGGGCACTGTGATTCGTGGGAACACCATCTTCGTCACCCGATCCCGCCCTCGATGATCAGGAGGTTCCTGTTTCATCTGTGGATGTCTCTGCACTGTCTATCCTCCAATTTTCTGAAATGTTTTGATCAATTACAAGTCTTCTGAAAACTGCTCCTGCGACTGGTGACCGACAGATGTTACCCAGACATGCAAACAGCACAGACTTGGGCACCGGCTCGGCCATCTTCCCTCGCAAACACTGAGGACCCACTGACCAAGTCAGAACTTTTCATCCGCACTGAGGGTCCCTATTTTAATTTTCTACATGTGAAACAATGAGGACTTCAGGATGGGAGAGGGTTTAAAGATAGAGAATCTGGTAGAAAGCAGTTTAAACAGCAAGGAGATGCCTAGAAAGACTAACACAGTCTTCCTGGCCATGTGCTATCCAGCCCCCTCCGCCTCCCCGGCCCCATCCGCCTCCTCAGCCTCTTCCCATCTCCCTGCCTCATCCGAGGCCACATTTCACCTCCTTCTCAGCCCTCGCCTCCCACTCACTAGCCTTTCCATTTCTTGAATATTTTTCTTTTCACCAAAGAGCATTGGCACAAGCTTTTCCCTCTGCCTAAACTGTCTCCCACCCCAAGTTGCCTGGCTAATGCCTCCTTATCCTTCCGATCTTGGTTCAAATGTCCTTCCCCTGGGAAGTCTTTCCAATCAAAATTAGGATCCCAGTTTGTTACCTTCCCAGAACTAATCATGTACCAATATGTGCCCCTCCCACCGGCAGGAAGCATGACAGCCCGTGTGTTTGCA